ATTACAGGTGTGCACCACCATGTTTGACTTGTGGTTTTCCTTTTGCATTATGGAAATCCCACCCATTTATCCCCAGCTCCAGCCTTTTATACCACCTGAAAAGTTCATCAGCCTGAGCATTATGTGTGTGGTGCCGTCCATAATGTATTCTTCATGCAGCTAGGTAAAACAGCCTTCTTGTAAACCAGATCGTCGTTACTCTGCTTAAAACCTTCAAGGCTTATCCTACTTAGGAGGAAACCTAATATCTTTACTGTGTCTTGGAGGCCCAGCTTAGTGGCCTTGGCTCACCTCTGAGGCCTGGTCTCCAGTCCCCTCTTTCTGTCACCACTCCGCCCTGCTGGCCTTATCTCCACTCTGTCAGCACTTGAGCTCCCTCCAACCGCTATCCCCTCTGTCTAGAATGACCCTCTTTCTCCTCATAGCTCAGCTCACATGTCCTCTCATAGAGGCCATCCCAGCTGACCATGTTTCTTTCTTTCTTTCTTTTTCTTTTTTTTTTTTTTGTCTTTTTGAGACAGGGTTTCACTATGCAGTTCAGGCTGACCTTGAGTTCACTCTGTAGCCCAGGCTAATCTCGAACTTGCAATGATCCTCCTGCCTCAGCTTCCTGAGTGCTGGGATTACAGGTGTGCACCACCACACCTGGCTCTTTACTGTTTTTTTGAGATAGGGTTTCGCTGTGTAGCCCATGGTGGGCTGAACTTGTGGTAATTCTCCTTGATTCAGCTTCCTGAGTACTGGGATGGCAGGTGTGCACCACCATGTCCAGCTAGTATTATTCTTAGGTAATACTTGAGATGTATGTGTTCACTGGAAGATGCAAGGAATGCTATAGCCCTTTACTCATTGCCAGCTTAAGAGGGAAAATAGAGCGCTAGGGCTTCATCTACTGTTCTGTCATACCCATTTCTCTCCCCTTTTCCTCACCTGTAACTCCAACTCTGACATTGTTGACTTTTCTGTGTGTGCTGTATATCTCTTATATGCATGTTATGGCTTGTATCTATATGTCCCATTCCCCAGCCCCAAGTCTCATGTGTTCACAGGTGGGGCTTTTTGGAGGTGGCTCCATCTAGTATGTGTTAATATGGATTAAGGGTGTAATAATTAAATCTGTCCACTGATTGGTTGAGCATTGTTGTGGGTATGGATAATGGGAAAACCCACCCTGCGTGTGGGTGGCACCACCCAATAGGCTTGTAGCCTGGAGGAGTTAAAAGGGAAAGGGAGGCTCACTGCATCCTGCCTCCTGCTTGTCCTGCCATGGAGCCTCTGCCATGCAGCCTGGCCTTGAGGGGGTCAGCCAGCTATGCTGACCCCCTCAAGGTCAGCTGAAATAAACCCTTTCTCCTGTAACTTGTAGGTATCAGGTATTTTGTCCCAGCAATGAGAAAAGTAACTAAGACGGTGTGTTTTCAAATAATGTGTAGCATTGTTGGTCACGTTGTGTAATTCTGTGTCGATGGTGTTTGTGCACATAAGACTGAACACAGCAGGCTGAAGGCTGTTCCTTAGAAAGAGGCTGTGTTTAAGATACCCCAGGCTGGTATCTGGGGTTCCAGATTTCAGGAGCATCCCTGCCATTCTGTGGCAGTACTTCCTCTAAACTGGTTATGCAAACCATGCAGTTTCTTTCTTTCTTTCTTTCTTTCTTTCTTTTTTTGCTTTTTTTTGTATTGGTACATTTCAGATATACATAATGATAGCATTCACCATGGAGAATTTATACCTGTACATGATATATTTGCTTCTTTTTTTCCATTCCCTCCCCTCCCTTCAAAGCCTCTTCTTCCCCACCTTATTTAGAAAAGCTTTGTTTTCATTTTTTCCTTCTATTCTTTTTTTTCTTGTTCCTTCTTTCCTTTCCCTAGTTCTCCTTCTCATTTGAAATTTTCTTCCCATTTCCCAATATCTATTATACGTTTTGGTCCTTATTTACACTTTCAGTTTCTCACAACGGAGAAACAGTGTGATATTTACATATGTGTGTCCAGTTTATTTCACTTAAGAGTATAGTCTCAAGGTGCATCCATTTACCTAGAAATGTCTCAAGTTTATCCTTCTTTATGGCAGAGTAATACTCCACTGTATAAAAAAGCACCTACATCTTTATTCATTCATTGATTGATGGGCATTTGGGCTGTTTCCAAGATTTAACTATTACAAACTGTGCTGCTGTAAACATGGGTGTGCATATATTGTTGTGGTATGATGCTTTTAATTCTTTTGG